CGGCTTTTTTCTTTTTGCTTATGTGGTGCTGAGGAATCGAACCCAGGGCCTTGAGCATGCAAGGCAAGCGCTCTACCACTGAGCCACCTTCCCAGCCCAATATAGCACTTCTTAACAGCAAATGTGACACAGAAGAATAACTTCATCATCTTGACTTGCCCTTAAGTAGCTAGGATTCAATGGCTGTTCTAGGTTCCTTAGAGTGCATACTTCACTACAGGCAGCCACGCCTACAGTGTCCTTAAAACTCAGGTGATTTCCTTGTGTTACAGACGCCAGACATGCTGGTTTCAAGAAGTCCACAGACAGTGAAGACTTACTGAAATGTTAGTTTGGAAAGAATTTCCAGGCTAGCCTAGGCAAAAAGCAAGACCCCATCACAAAAGTGACAAGCAAAAAGGGCCTGCGGGTGAGTCAGTGACAGAACAAGCAGGGTGTTCTGAGTTCAAACCCTAAGACCCCCCCCCAAAAAAGCATATATAATTGGCAGCAGCATTTTGTAATGTTAACTGCCGTTCCCTGTGGGGCTGTGCAGTCTTTCCAGCATCCTGACCCCACAGGAGTACAGGCTAGAAGGGACATGGTCAGCACCCTCCTCTTCTCTGCCCACACAGTAGGCAGCTCCCCAACTCCACGTCTCCACCGGATGGAGGAGGGGTCAGGGTCTCCATACAAGAGACCTAACTCCCAGTTACTACAACAAAAACTGGCACACAATGAGACACTCAATGTTTGATGGTTTTCACAGCAATGGAAACTGAGTCTCAGAGAGAGACTTGATACCACAGTTCCTAAGTGGCAAACCAGGCCTCACACCTGAGAGCTGAGATCTGGAGGATCACAGATCAAGGCCAGCCAAAGCCAACAAGTTTGCTAGACTCTATCTCCAAAATAAGTGGGGACAGAGGTATAGTCCATGAAGTGGAGTGCCAGGACCTCAGTGTGAACCTTGAACTGAGGCACACCTCACACTGGAACATGCCAGCTCCCAAACTGTTTTTTGATTTGTTTTTCTGATGGAAGGAGGGTTTGAACTCAGGGACGCACATTTACTAAGCAGGCACTCTACAACTCCAGACCCAGATCCAGCCCTCTGGTTGTGCTTTGCACTCACCAAAAGACCAACTGCATTCAGTTGCACCATTCTATCAAAACACTACTGTTTGAAGGCAAAACAAAGTTTTCAAGTTGGGCACAACTGGCTAATGCCCATAATCCTAGCTACTCAGGAGGAAGCTAGCCTAGGCAGAAAAGCCAGGGAGACTCCACCTTTAACCGGCCAAATTTTGGGCTGGAGACATGGCTAAAGTGGTACAGGGCCAGCTATGAGCAAGAAAGCTGAGTTTTGAGGTCAGGGGTTCAAGACCAAAGAGCAATACATATATCCTTTCTTTTGTGCATGTGCCAATACTAGAGCCTGAACTTGAGAACTGGGTGCTATCCCTTAGCTTCTTCCACTAATGCAGGCACTCTACCACTTGAGCCACATCTCTACTTCCCACTTTTTGCTGGTTAATTGAAGATTAAGAGTCTCATAAACTTTCCTACTTGGGCTGATTCTCAGATCTTAGCCCCTTACTAGCTAGGATTACAGATGGGAGCCACAGGTGCCTGGCAAACAAAACTTTCAACCTCCACCAACCAAAACAAAATTCACACTATTTAAACTTTGTTGAAAGAGATACTCTCAAGAAGTATGGCATTTCGCTTTTTACCTATAAATGTATGAATACAAAGTCCAAACCACAACCAGTATTCTGCCCCAATCATGCGTAACTTGTGAGCTGAAATTCTCTAAAGGAGCCTCTTCTACATGACTGTGTGGAGGACCAGAACATCACGGTTGTGGAAATACCGAATGTTACACAGTGGAAGCCAAAAGATGCTTTAGCATGTACTTTAACTGGCTAACCCAATGCTCCCATGACTATTAGGCAAGCTTCTCTTATCCTGAACACTAAGCTTAGTAGCCCTCACGTGTCCACTAACCCGAAGGCTAACACTGCTACAAGAAGCCACATGAAACCCACAGAAGAGGTCTTCTAGATTTGCTGTGGCCCGCCTACCTGATGTCCTCCCCTAATGTAACACCGAGTGTATTCCCGTAGGACATTTTGTTCTGAAACTGTGAAGTTCGCATCACCTCTTCCTGGGGAATGTCGTCCAGGTAACAGGAGTGCCCTTGAGGCCACCGATCACTCAGCCGGGCAAAATGCTTTTGTTAGCAAACTTCCAAAGAAGGTCACGCACATTTCCCAACACTTCGTGACAGACTGAGCTTCGGAGCTGGCTTCTTGTCACAGCCACTTGGCTTTACCCAACATCACCCAGCTGAATATGAACGCCAGAGTCCACAGGATCAAAGGCTCTGACGAGGGGATACCCGGAAATGCAAACGCTGAAAGTTACCCGGTCTCCAAGGCAATTCCAAGTCTAGGAACACAAGTCACAGCTGTTTGGGTTTTTAAGGAATGAGGCTGGGGAAGACTTAACCCTGTTTTCCTGTGCCATAGCGCTTCAGATGAATGCAAACTACAAGCCAGTGTGTGACAGTAACTCCTGAACGACATGACAGCGTAACGCGGAGACGGCTTCACAGATGCGAAGCTCAGGACTCCGGGAGCCGCAGGATCGGCCTCCCCGGCCTTTCCGGCCTCCCGCTCCCCACGGGCGGCGGCCCGCGAGGCCCCGGCTCCCCAAGGTCCCGAGCCCGCCCGCAGCCCGGTACCTGAGCGCAGCGGCGGCCCGTAGAGTGCGATGGCGGCGGAGAGAAGCGCCAGCGCGGCTGTCACGGCGACCTCGCGGCCGGCCATCCGCGGGAAGGAGGGTCTCGAACTTACCTCGCTCGCAGACCAGGGTTGCCACCCAGCCGAGTCCCATAGCTTCCGGCGGCCTTCCGGGTTCCCGGCGGCCTCGCGATTCCGCCGGAAGTGGGACACGGCTTCCTCCGGGAGCGCAGTCAGGAGGCTCTCTCCTTCCGCCGGAAGCGCGTCCGTCCGTCTTTCCGCTGTACCAGCCGTCCCGTTGCCGCCTCCTCCACTAGCCCCAGGGCCCCTCTCTGGGATATCCCTGCCAGCCCCGCCCCGCCTCCCGAGGCCGCGCCCTTGCCTCAGCCCAAGTCTGGGCCGCTGGACGCTCCCGCCAGGCTCCTGCGCGGAGGGACGCGGCCGCCGGAACCGCAGCCATTAGGCCCGGGTTCCGACATCCCGGCAACCCCTGCGCCGCGGTCTGAACCACAGGCGTTTGGGCCTGTTTCCGGTTTCCCGGCGTGCCAAGCGGCGCCTCCGGAAGTGGGCGTCTAACTTTCTGCAGTCCTGACTCCGGCGCTCGTCTCACCCTTGTCCAGTTTGTGCCAATAACAGGCAGCTCCAGAGATTGACCAGTGCGAAGGCCAATCAGTCCTCGGCCCAGCTCTGTTCACAAAGTAACTGCACCAAGATAGGCTGTAAGGGTTCGGGACTTGGTGGTTTGGCCTGCCATGTTTGAGCCTTGGGCTCTAAAGGAAATGGTTGGTTTCGAAGGATGCCCTGTTATTAAGCTGCTGGTAGCAGAAGTCCTGTAGGCGTTGGAGCTCTGAGGACAGCATTGTGCCGATCCAGTCGGTGTGTGCCTTCCCTGCTTCCCGGGCGGGCGTCCCCGGGCCGGTTTCCCCGTGAGCTTCAAACCTGTGAGGCCGGGCCCCCACCTCCACCCCGCTCAGCGTCTGAGACCAGCTCCCCGTCCGCTCTGCCAGGGCCACCCCGTGGTTGAAGGCGCCAGATCTGGGCACAACCTCACTTGGCTTTTTCTCCGCTTGGGTCTGGATGGGTGGAGTGCGAATCCCCGCACAGAACGTCTTAAGAAAATCATGCTTGAGAGAGAGGGGCCGAGATCGAATGGGATGCGTTGACTACCTAAGATGGCGCGATGGAATCCCCCCGTGTATAATAACGTGTAATAAACTAAACTAAGTCTGCTTGTGATAGCAAAACGCGTTAGCCCGGCGCTGATGGCTCATGCTTGTCTGTAATCCTAGTTACCAAGCAGGCTGAGATCTGAGGATCGAAGTTTAAAGCCCACTCCGGCAGTCAAGTCCATGAGACTCATCTCCAGTTAACCAGCAAAAAGCTGAAAGTGGAGCTGTGGTTTAAGTGATAGAGCACCAGTTTACAGGAAAAGCTAAGGGACAGAGCCCAGACCCTGTGTTCAAGCCCCAGTACTGGCACACAAGCGCACACACAAACCAAATTCATGAGCACTAAAAAAAGAGTTCTGTGCTATATTTGTGATTTTCCCTGTAGTGTTCCGTTGTGGTTTTAACATCATCTTTTAAGTAAAAAAAGTTTGGAGCCGTGCGCTGGTGGCTCACGCTTGTAATCCTAGCTACTCAGGAGGCTGAGATCTGAGGATCGCCGTTCAAAGCCAGCCCGGGCTTTGACCAAAAAAAAAAAAAAGTTTGGGTGTTCCCCTCACTTATTTTCCAGTTCAGTAGGTTAGAAAGGGAATTATTTTGTCCTTAAATCTTTGGTAGAATCCATCAAAGTTTTTTTTTTTTTGGTGGGGGTTATTTATTTATTTATTTGGTCAGTCTTGGGGCTTGAACCCTGGGCTTGGGTGCTGTCCCTGTGCTCTTCAGCTCAAGGCAAGTGCTCTACCGCTTGAGCCACAGAGCCACTTCTGGTTTTCTAGTGGTTTATTGGAGATAAGAGTCTCATGGACTTTCCTGCCATCCAGGGCTGGCTTTGAACCAAGATCCTCAGATCTCAGCCTCCTGAGTAGCTAGGATTACAGGTGTGAGCCACCAGCGCCTGGCTGGGGGAGGGGGTATTATTTTTTTAACTCACTTCATTAATGATTACAAAGCTCTTCATGCCACTCAGTCTTCCTAAGTGAACTTTGGCATCTTAAGTCCAATAAGACTTGGTCTGTAACCAAATACCAGTGGCTCATACTTGTAATCCTACCTACTCAGGAGGCTAAGACCTGGAAAATCCTGGAGGAGCTTGTTTTGAAGCCAGCCTGGGCAGAAAAGTCTGTGAGACAACATCTCCAATTAACAAAAAGCTGGAGGCATGGTTCAAGTTGTAGAGCCCAAGCTGAGTGGGACTGTGAGGTCTTGAGTCCAAGCCTGGGTACCAACACTAAAAAGGAATTACTCTACTTCCTTTAGTCTGTCACATTGACCAATATAGCTTACTCCAAATTGTTCCCTATAAGCTTGTAACATTACAGGACTTGTTTCTGTTTTTCTATTTGTCTTAATTTTGGTAATTTGTCTTCCTGTATTGCTCATCCAAATATTTCACTACTGATCAATCAGCTTTTGGTTCTATTTGTTATACCAATTTATAATTTGATCTTTCTTTTTAATTTGTTGGTACTAGAGTTTGAATTCAGGGCCTAATTATTGCTACACTGGCTCCATTCTGATGAGTCTAGCCTCCAGCCCTACTTTTCACTAGTTATTTCTAAGATAGGATCTGGTTTCCTGCCTGGACACGCACCTGAGTCATGATTCACCTACTTTTAGGCTTTGCCATCACTGGGATCTCAGGCCTGGTCTTTCATGGAAATGTATTCTCACAGGCTTGTCTGCTTGGCTAGCCTGTAACTATGATCTTTCCAATCTCAGCCCCTAGCATAATTTGAGATATCAGACATACACTCTTCTTCCCAGCTATGAATTGGGAAGGGATCTTGAAAACTTTTCTGCCTAGGCTGGCTTTGATCCTCAATGCTCTTATCCTCACCCTCCCAAGGAGTTAGGATTACATGTGTGAGTCACTGGCTCCTGGCTTAAATATTCTTATTTAGTGCTATGTTTCCCTCCTGCTCACTTTGATTTATTTTTACTTTTTTAGTTCTTGAAAATGAACTCTATCACTGTCTACAAACTTTCTCTTCTCAGTTGAGCATTAATGAGATGGTCTGTAGGCAGTCATGTGTCATTTGGAAGGTCCACACACAGCAGTGTGTCAATCAGATAGTCTGTAGGCAGCAGTGGTTGGTTGCCTTTCCTTACTTCTCTGCTGTTGAGTGAGGAGACAGTTGACCCACGTGCACTTAGACAAGTAATGCTTACATAGCACAAGCAAGCTCAGCATAGTTCAGGTCCCTCTTTCAAACAATGATAGAGAAACAACAGAAGACAGATGACAGGCAACATAAGTGGCTGGGCACTCCATGGCTAGGGAGCGATGACATGCTGCAGCCAAGTAATTCCATATTCTGCAGTCGTACTCTAATGAAGGAGGCACAAGGTAGAAATGTCCACACCAGAGAGGTAGATGAGAAGTGCTTCCTGTCAGCCTTTCTCAAAGTGCGGTGACAGCTTAGAAGTCCCTTGGCAGCACTCCCTTGCGGCACTGTCCAGCTCCCTATGTTCTGGAAGGGTCCTTTGACATTCCGCATGGCTTAGGTTAGCCTGCATGCAAGTCTGGCTGTGGGGCCTGGGGTGTCGTGATCAGTTCTCTTTTCACAGGTATTAGGAGCTTCCTGCCTGCCGGTCAGCTCACCGATTGGCTTGTACATGCATTTCCAGGTACCTGCAGGCTCAGTGTTGAGGAGCTTTCTCTGCCATCCGGCCTGTTCACGCATGCATCTCCAACGCCATCTTTTTGCAAACCCATTCTTCATGAAAGTGACTCACTGACCCCTGATGCCTTATGCAGAAGCATTTTCTATTAGAATCCCCAACGTCTATGAATCAGACTCCCATCATTTACCCATCATTGTCGTCTGTCATTTATCAACTAGTTATTTTTCCTGATTTAAAAATATCTCATTTAAAATTTCACCAGAGAGCCTTTCTTTCTTTTCTTTTCTTTTTTTTTTGTCAGTAGTGGGACTTGAACTCTGGATCTGGGCGCTGTCCCTCAGCTCTTCAGCTCAAGATGAGTACTCTACCACCTGAGCCACAGCGCTACTTCTGGTTTTCTGGTGGTTTATTGGAGATAAGAGTCTCACAAATTTTCCTGCCTGGGTTGGCTTTGAACCACGATCCTCAGATCTCAGCCTCCTGAGTAGCTAGGATTATAGGCATGAGTCACCAGTGCCTGGCTGGAGAGCCTTTCTTGTCTTAAGAACATTCTTGCTCATGGTTTTCTTGTTATTTCCTGCATGTTGGTTATCCCTGCCCCTACCTCCTGGTTTCAACCCCTCATGGCCATCTCTTGCTCCAACTGCTGCTATGGAAACCAGCTGTCCACAGGTATATTCTAGGTGGCTCCCTGCCTTGAAGCTTTCTGGCATTGGACTTTGGGGCCTGTGCAAGGCACCTGCGAGCCTCTACCCAGCCAGTTCAGGTGTGAGCAAATGTTTCACTTCTGAGACCTTTGCATCATTTCTGCAAATCCAGCGCTGTTGTGATCATTTCATGAGTCACTGAGCTAGCCAGAAAAGGATGGGTATCAGAGCATCCTGGCTTCAGTTTTCACACTACACTGAATGTCTGTAAGACAGCAGATGGCATTGTGTCCTAGATCTTTCCACGTCTGTTTGTTGTGACAGGGATTTACCCTTCCATAAGAACTCAACCCAGGTTAAGTGAACTTGCTTTCACTCGGATCTGTGTTATTATTAATGTTATTATAAGTTTTTGGTTTGAGCTCAGAGGCTTGTGCTTGCTTAGCAAGTGTTCTATCACTGGAACATGCCTCCAGTCCCCTTAATGCATGGTGTTCTTTTTTAAGTGACCTAACTTGTAAGATGAAGCTAAACTGTATAGTTGGTCTGTATGTGTCTGTACCTTATGTTCTAATGATTGAACTCAAGGCCTCATGCTTGCTAGGCAGCACTCTGCCACTTGAGTCATGACCCAGCCCTTTGGCTTTAGTAAGTTTTCTTTCAAATAGGGTCTCACACTTCTGTACCAGATGGCCTCAGACTGTATCATCCTAAGTAGCTGGGATTACAGGCAGGAGCATGTGGTAACTTCTACCACTGTACAATTAATATATGCTAACAAATAGTGTGCTGTGAAAGGCTATTTTTGAATTTCAGTTCAATTCTTGTCTTAAAGAGTGGAGGATCTGGGATGTAGCTCCGTGGTAGAGCATTTTCTTGGAGTGCACGAGACCCTGGTCAATTCCTAGTACCATATATAGAAAAAAAAAGTAGAAGAAGATTAAACTGCTACTCTTATTTAGTTAGTTGTGTTTTGTTGTTGCTGTTTTTTATTTT